GGTGATTTTAGTTAGGCTCTTCTCTATCTTAAAGTAGTATATCTTAAAACACCACTTTCTGCCATGTCCTGCCTCCTGGGATAAGTGGGTCTCAGGAGCTTCAGGATCCTGTTTCCTCAGCAGCAAGGGCTGGTTCTGCCTGATACCCTGACTTAGAGAGACTTGTCCCTTGACAGGTGCAGTCTAGACCACAGACAGCAGAAAGATTTTGCAGTACATATTGCATGAGGGCTGCTATAAGAATTTTTTTAGTATTTGGTCCACATACTGAGGCTAAAGCCAAGAAATTTTACTCCATCAATTTTGTCCCTATTCTGCTGCCTGGAATTGTAGGGAGGGTTTTGTTTGGTACCCTACAGGCATTCCAGCATGTTGTTGTGGAAGTGGTAAAACATGCAACAAGCTTTCTTTGAGTGAGTTAAAGATAGGTGCATGTTGAACCATCCCATCCCTTTTTCCATTGATCTGTATTTTGAGTGCTGCCTTCTAACCTTTCATTTCTTGATACGGTTGTTAGCAAGGTTGTCACGGGGCAACCCTCACTTGACATAGTTGTCTTGCATTTCTTCCCCTGCTCCCAGGCTGAGCACGAGACAGAGGCTTTTGTGCTGTTAGGGAATGAGTGTTAGGGAATGAGAGGTGACCAAAGAGAGGTCAAAACCTCAGGCAGATTCTTTGATCTGTCAGCAGCTTTTGATCCATCTGATCATGAAACATTATTGACCTGCCTGTGAATCTTAGCTATGGATGTGGCCTGAACTGCTCTTTTGGCAATTTGAAAGAGGGGTGGCTGAGGGTCACTGGGAATGATGCTGGCTTGGTTTTTACTTATTGCCATTATCCAATTGCTATCCAAAGTCTACATTTTAGGGGAGAGCAGATGTGGGCTGTGCAGCTACACATATACAGATAACACATGGATCTGCACTTGAGCAGATCTTCACGTCTTCTCTCCTACCTGGACGCTGTCACAGCCACACCTGCCCATGAGGCATGTGATTTGGATTGCAATTTCTCAGAAACCACAGCCGGTTCAGTCTCAGGCCATGACTCAGCAGCAATAGCTATGAGAAATGTGGTTTCTGCAGCCTTTGCTGCTTCCAAATTGATTTCAGGTGCATGTCACACTCTGTCAGCTACCCAGCATTTTCTCTGATTTTTTTTAATTCCGGCTGATGAGCACCATCAGACCATGACCAACGGGATGAGTGGAAATCTCTTCTTCACTGGTGTGTACTTGGATTACCATCCCCAAAACAGAGGTGGTAGAGGAGGGTCTGTGCCTTGTTCATCAGCTACTTTGTGGAAAAGTTAGTATCTCATCTTAAACTGCTGCTGAAGATGGGTTCATGCTGGACGTTGTATGGAAGCAACTGAGGTGCAGGCATATGTTGCCTTCTGCTGACTTGGCTCTGGTGATGCTAACCACAGCCAGCAAAGAGGAGTGAGCAACTGGGAACAGTAACATCTCAAACTGCAGCAGAATGATTGGCCAGACCTCTCCTGTCAGCACTTGGATTCCTTTGGTGTTCATTGAGGAATTAAAAGTTAACTGTGGGTGGTGGCAAAAAATAGGTTTGCCTGCCTAGAAAATGCTAAAGCCAATACTGAAAAGCAGAGGTGGACCTGAAGACACTTATCTCTCTTGGAATTTATATGGGGATTAAAACAAGCATCCTTCTTGTAGTACATAGGGAATTTTATAATCACTGCTGGTATTTTACCTCAGGGTATTCTGTGGGGTGAAGATTTAATTTTTCTACCTCTTATGAAGGAATAGAGGCCTAGGACTTGCTGTCAGTTATAAACTAGAACTAGATGCTTTCTGGGACTCAGAAGTGATTGAATGGTCTGAGATGGGTGAGGGTGTACCACCACACCTCCAGAAATCAAACATGGGAGACACGCATGTAGAGAAATGCCACAAGATGTTACATGGCCATTTCACTTCGATGTCAACAAGAAAAGATGCTACAAGGCTGTCCAACGCATTAGACAAAATGCTGTGCACAGCAGTGGCTACAAAATTAAGATACAGGGTGTTTTATTACATGCAATGTGGTGCCTCCTTTCCACTCCCGCATCTTTACTTGTTACAGAAAAGAATAACTTTCTTAATGAAAAAACACCCAGTCTTGAGTAAGAGGCAATGTAAATGTTTTTTTCTTTGCAAGGGGTTAAAGTGGCATCTTTGCACAACACCACCCTCCATCTCAGCAAAACTGCCAGCAGTTGAAAGATATAAATAGGGATATTTAGGGTGAAAATCATATTTAGGTTCCTTTGAAATGTGCTTGGCTAAAGAAATATTTTGAAGAGAGGGAGTGGAAAAACAAATGGAAAATATTTTCTTTGAAAGGGAAAAAAAAGCAACAAACTGTCCTTCCTAAATAGAGATACTTGGCTGGTATGTAATTTACACAGCCATAGGTCAGACCTTGCAAACAACTACTAAATTAAGTCCAGCTACTTTGATACTAAAAGCATGGAAGAGCCAATAATTAAGTTGCATCAGATGTAGGAAATGACTGATGTGTCTGCCATGCTCACGATAGCAGAGTTCACTGTGCTGCCATTTGACCGACCCCTTTTACTTTATGTAAGCAAAAAGAATTTTCTTCTAAGGAAAATCAGCTGCTTTTGCACCTTAGTTTTGTTTTCTGAACTGCTAATCCCCTGAAGGTACAGAAGCTATTTGAAAGAGAAAATCAAAGCTCCCATAATTTAGTGTTATATTATTTGTTGATGTATGGTTTGATTTAGTGGCTACTTATTATATCAGGTTACCATATAATTATCTTAATTATTGACTCCAGAAGTAAGTAGAGGGATTATGAGACAGACAGGAAGGCCCAGTGGAAAGACCACAGCTCAGAGAATCGAACACATCACGGTGAGCTCCTGGCTCCACCATTCATTTACTCTGAGCCTGAACTCTTCCCCCAGCCCGCCTGGCCATGAGAGCAAGAGGGATTGCAAGGACAGCACTCAGATGCTGACCCAGGATTCAGAGAGATGCAGGAGAGCAGTATAAAAAGCACACAGGAAAGTTCTGAAAGAGATGTAAAATTAGCAAAAGAAAAATTACTACACACCACAGCAGGCATTTGCATTGAAGCATGGAACACTAATGTGGTCACAAAGAAGTGTCGTTTTGCCTGACATTTGAGTCTGATCACTGTTCATTTCCAGCCTCTTCTACTGATTTCCTGTGTGAAATCAGGTAGCCCTCAGATCCCTTCCTGCAAAACAAGGATTATAAAAATCATCCTCCTGTCTTTGGTTTTAGCAACTGAAATTATTGTGCCACAGCTCCTTCTCACACAGCCTTTAGCTGAGGTTCTCATTGTGGCCATTTGTGACTTTTAGTCTCCTAGTCCTTTGACCAAAGCCAAAGGTTTGAGTTAGCAGTTACTACTGCAATATAAAAGGTTGTCAGTGCAGGCTCTGCTTCCTGTATTGATAATATTTTACATACAGTGACAATATACTTCATCTGTTGACAAGCTGAGTTGCCTCTTTTTCCCTAAGAGACGAGCAGACACACTGGTTCTGCTCAGCCTGTGCAAATTACTTTCTCTGATTTTGCTTTTCTTTCATGAGCCAAAAAATGGGGATAATAGAATGTATCTATTTCCTTCCTAGAAAAGATCAGTTAATGTGAAATGGTGCATGGTGGCTTAGTGCTGAATAAGTGGGATACTCTAATCCAGCAAGGTATACTCATTCTATTGTACGCCTTTTCTGCATACCATCTGGAGTTGTTCTCTGCCTAGTATTTTCAGTATGTACCATATGTTTTTGCATGAAAATTCAATAAAATATGCATTATACATGAAAAGTGCTGTAGTAAATAAAGGAAGGACGGAATCCAGCCCCCTTTGTGAACGGCAGGGGCCCCAAATCTTCATAAAAGGTTTAGTCTAGTCTGACGTCTGTGCTTTTCTCCAATTTACTCTGTGTCAGTCTTTAGGAGATGCTCTAATTTAAAACAAAACTCTTTCCTGATGAGGTTATTAGATGTACTTTGTCTGCCCTCTGCTGAGAGCACTGAATAAGACAGGGAAAATGTCTATTTTCCAAGGAAAGTAACAGTGGGAGAAATCCTCCATCCATGCTCTGAGTCGTGTCACTGCTGCTAGCGGTTGTCCTCAGTTTGGTGCCTCTCACTGTTTGCTGCTTGTCAGAGGGCAAAGTCTTCTGAGCTACAGCCCTCTTTGGGTCTTATTGCCCACCACTTGTTGCCAAGGGCCAGGTGGTTTTGTACACTTACGGAAATGTGGGGTCAGGCATTGCCTGCCATGCAAAATTCAACTGCATCAGCCAAGAGGTGGCCATGGGAGAAAGCAGGATTCTCTCTCTGAACATTATTGCAGTCCTGCTGGGTGGGATTTGAGCTCTACCTCAGTCCCCCTCTACTCAGCAGAGCATTTCTCCACTGCATACCATTCCTCCTCGGGGTGCTAGTTTCTTCCAGTCCAATCTCCTAGCCCTCCATGGGCATTGCAGCACTAGCACTTTGCTTTCTTTATATAGCTGGGAAAGGGCAAAGGGTTTGCTCCAACATCAACACGAGTAATCAAAGGACTTGCCATTTCTTGTGAACAAAGTGTTCCTGGTCTGCCCCCCATCTTGTCTTTGGGAAAAAAAGAAGGGTCCTGTGCAGATTTTAGTGCGTATATAAAACAAGCACTCTGTTGTAGTTATTAATGCTCTCTGTAATGCCCTGGTTTTAATACTTCCTAGCAAGTTGATTTATTATTATATCTTCAGCTGGGCTGTGCACCAAAGCATTTTGACGATGGAAGGAATGTTATACACACATTTAATTACTGCCCACATTTTTGTATAATTTTATCATTTACTGTTTTAGATGAGACATCAAGTTCTTCTGCAGGAAAAATGCCCAGTAAAAACAAATTATTTAAAAGCTAGTCTGAGATGTGTTTGGCACTTAAATGTGAGAAAATAGAATTGTTCCTTTCTTCCTGCCTTTTCAGATGGTCCCCGATTGCCAAAATGTGCAAGGACTTCCTTATCTGGACATGGTGATTGCAGAGACATTGCGCATGTACCCACCTGCGTTCAGGTATCATTTTTTTCCCCCTTCTGATTCCCAATGATAGATCCCTAGCTCTATAAAATGGAAATCTGCTGTTGGAAGAGAAGTGTGCCCTTGGTCTCAGTGCCAATATCTATACCACTTGTGCATTTGAAAGATATATTGTGGCTTTTGAAGAAAAAAACAACTGACTAATACTGGTATTTCTAAGGCAGTTTTTTACAAGAGATATTGACCATTCCTCACATCCTCCAAGGTTAGAGGATGGAACCATTTTGCAGCAGGACGGACTATAGAAAGGCAGGTGCTGCTGCTTCCATATGTCTGGGGATATAGAGGAATGGAGCAAAGACCTACCCTGGCCTGTTGGTCATTAAGGCCCTGATCTGTGGAAGGGCTGCAGGTTCAGAAAGCTGTATTTTACATATGTGTTCAACTTGGCCCCCTACTGTTTTGCACTTAGGACTGTATAATACTAATATAGCTAAGCTAATGGCTACATCCATTAAATTTCAAAAGTTTTGCCCCAAGTCACACAAGACTAATTTTACTAAGTTACATTGATTAATTGAAAGCGAAGGGTAAAGAAATTAGAAAACCAAGTGACAAATTTCCATGTTATCATAAGCATTAATGCAAAAGTTAAGAATGGAACTTTTTAAAGTGGTCAGCCAGTTGCACTGCTTCTTGTGAAGCCAGAAGAAAAATTCAGAAGACGGGAAAGGAATTAAAACTGAGCTTGCTATGACAGTCTTTGCAAAATTTACTCCATGATAGCGAGTACCTTAAAATAAAAAGCTTAAAATCATATTCTCTTTTATGTGTTTATAAAGATCAGACATTGAGATTTTTCCATTGATATCTGCAGGATTGTCCAGAGAGTAAATGTCAAAGATACTTGCTCCTGGATGAGATGAGAAGGCTTTACTATGTTATACATGGTACATAAGTAGACATTATTTTGCTAGCTAAAGTGTCAGGGATCTTTGAGTTTCAGCTGAAACACTGGGAAACAATCAATGTTTCCCAGATGGGAAACAGAATCAGAATAGAGCCAAGTTGTTCTGAAGTTTTGCTTGGTGTTGTCGGTGGTGTTTATTGATCTGGCTTTTAGTCTGATGGATGTGGAATGGATAGGACAGCCCAGTGCCTCAGAAAGATGCTAATTGCCTATGACAAAGAAAATGTTGAGTTAGGGGAAAATTCAGTAGCAATCAAGCTTATTATAGAATGAGGTTGTTGTTTTGTTGTTGGTTTGCTTTGCTTTGCTTTTTTTGCATTTTTTGTTTTGTTGTTGTTGTTGTTTTTAATGAACTTACTAGCCAGAGAACTTTCTTCCTCAGAACTCATTTCCACAATCACCAAATTCATGTAAGGATGAGAATGATGGCTTGTCAATGTGTATTTTAGTATACCAGTGTTTTGTTCTAGGTTTGCAGCTTGTTATTTATTTGTCTATGAGAAAGAGAGAGATGGGTGACAGCAAGGAAAGACTGTGTTCCTGTAATGATACCAGACTGACAGCCCTGAAACTGAAATCTTTGTTCAACTTCTCAGGCACAATGCAGGGAGCAGCCACGGAGCTCCTGCATGTTGTCTGGCCTCTGTATTCCCAGTGGGTGCCAGTCAACAGCTCCCAGGCTGAGTTAGCAGGGCACCCACCTGGGTCTGGGCTGGTTTGGGGTCTGTAACAACCATCCAAGCACCAAAAGATCTGGATCAGGATCTGCCAGCATGCTTTCCCACCCACACACCATTTTTTATAAGGTTTACAAACCCAAGCTCAGCTTTGACAGGTGGCTTTTCTCAGTCTTGATGCCACAATGAGGTTCCTAAGGACAGTCCTACTCTGTCACTTGTCACCACAGGGTGGGAGGAAACTGGAGAGTTTTGTTGCTAACATCATGCATGTCTTTGATGAGTCTGTGTGAAATGCAGTTTTCCAAGGCTTGTGAACTAGTTGTATTTCTGAAGCAACAGCAGAACACTTAGCTGTTCATTAAAAGCATTAAAAGCTTCCCTTTCATTAAAAGCATCCCTTGCTAAGTTTTAGGTCCTTTCCCAATGTGAGGGAGCTTCTCAAATAAGTCCAAAACCTCTATTTAATTTAATTTTTTCTGAGGGCAAACTGGCATAGTCATTCTGCCAGTTATTAGAGATGACTGACACATTTCATTTTCAGTTTTCATTAAAAATTAGTCTAAACCAACATCAGCAGCAAAATTGCAGTATGACAGTTAATGTTTTGGAAAACCATAAGCAACCAGAAATGTTTTAATGTGGAAAAGGGCAAAAGTTAGTCAGCTGGGTTGGAGCTGTGTGCCTCTAGATGGAGATGATTGTAACCTGAGAAGACAGTAGCATCAGCAACAGTTGCTGTATTTATCTTCAGGGTGTTACTCCTGAAATTGCAGGGTCAGTCCAGCTGAAGAGATGGGCTTTTATGGTTCCCCTCCTGCTGTCTTTTTACCTTCATTAATGATCTGGGACACATGACACCTTCTGTTGTAGGTTCACCCGGGAAGCAGCTAAAGACTGCATAGTGCTGGGGCAGCGTATTCCGGCTGGGGCCGTCATTGAAACTGCAGTGGGACATCTCCACCACAACCCTGAGTTCTGGCCAGATCCTGAGAAGTTCATTCCTGAGAGGTATGTGGTGTAGTGCTTTTCATTCTTAGGCTGAAGTCCTTATCTGTGCCTGTTTAGCTCAACAACCTGTCTTAAATGCTGTTCCATGCATTAGGGTGGACACAGGACTCCAGCCTGTCCAGTGGAGACACCAGATCCTGCTACTCTTTCATAGCCACAGTCACCCACTATTCACCCCAAGCAGTATTCCCACTAAGAGGAGCACAGTTTAATTATATCATAAAAGATGTAATTTCTACCAAATTAGACAAGTGGTGATAGTGGTGCCTCCCACAGAAGGTGCACGGTTTGGCCAAGGTTGAAATGTGGTGCAGCTTTTCAGACTTGTTTCCAAATCAGATGTTGCAAATAGTGTCTACTATGGATACAGAAGTTCTGAAGTTGAGATGTTATATTCACTGACATGGAGGTACCCAGGAAAATTGTGAAGACTATGGGTGCTTTAGAGCAGCCTTTTCACCTAAGACCTTTTAACTGTGTGGGTACACTATGAGTGGGGAACCTACCTCAGCTTCCATGGGAAATTTGCTCTCTCTCCATAAATTAGAATCCTGTATTTTTAGCTCTGCCTGGGCAGATGTACTTTGACATAGAGCACTTATTCTCTTCAACTGGAAGAGGGCACTGCAAGTTGTGGTTTTGTAACTATCTTAACAGCTGCTGAACTGAGCTCACAGGGAGAGTTTCAGCCTGATGTGGTGCTGTGCAGAAGCACAGTTTTGTGCAGCTGCATTTTAGGCTGTTCTGTGGTCAGCTGCATTTTAAGCTACCAATATATTGAAGTCTACTAAGAAAAAAAGTCCATGCTCCACAAACAACAGAGTGTGAGGCATGCAACCCAGAACCATCTTTGCCCTTAAGACCACACATAGATAGTGTAGGTGGATTTGCACAATGCTCCTTCCGTAACAAATCTTGGCACAGGCTCTATCAATCAGCCATCTTAGGCCATGAAGAAGAGCAATGCCAAGGTTAGAGAAGTTCAGAGCTTTTGCTGGGGAGGAATGTTAGCAATAACTGTATGTCTTGGGATGTTGGGTTTTTTTAGCAACACGTACCTAGAAATGTCTTAATTGTTTGTTGACCACTTCAACAGCAGTACAAAAGCACACCACAGGGTAAAATAGATAGTGGGGGCTGCAGTCCCCTGGGCTCAGATGATGTTGTTTGTTACGAATCTGAGATTAATGCCCTTTTGAAATTTCTCTGAGGAATTTCCAACACTCTTCCCACTTTGTATCAGTTGGTAAAGTTAGTAAAAATTATAAAAGAATAGCTTAACAATAAACAAATTAATTTAGCAACAGCCTTTTTTACCCATAATATTTTGTTTTGAATTCTATCTCAGGAATAATACATGGGATACTCTGAATTTATCAGGACGATATATGGGGGTGAGCAAGTCAAGAACTGCATTAACTTGTTTGTATGGGATATGCAAAGGTGCTCAATACATGAGTTAATGGTCCTTCAATCTCCAATTATGGACTTTTATCATACTTTCTGCAGTAGTAACCCAATCTTAATTGGGATATTTAAATATGGGATGAGGTTGGCAGCAATACACAATATTATTTTTTCCCCAAATCTCAAAATAACCTGTATTAACTCCATCTCTTTCTATCCTGCATGAATTTTCTGTGTCTTAGCAGTCTAAAGTTCTTGCAAACGGTATCCAAACAGATGAGAGATTTTCAGGGATGACCCTGTACATGAAGGACAGAAACTTTATCCACATACAGAACCAGAAAAGTATACCTATACTTCCAGAACAGCTCCAAATGCCTTATGGCATGGGAGGACTATGTAGATTTCCAGGGTAATGCCATTGCTGTATAGTTTTGCTTGTTTTAAGGAACCACTCAGCACAGGTCAGGATGAGCCCCACCTTGCTGATTAGGTATTGGCCTTGACTCAAACTCTGTGCTCCTGCCTGTACATATTCTGTGCAGTATACAGTATACTGTGCAGTATATCTTTGCACATATTGACACACAGATTTTACTTTTTTTTTTTTTTCCTTGGACTGCTGTTCAAATAAGAATTTTGTTTCCTTCTTTGTGGGGAAAAAAGAAAGGCTAATTTCTGGTGGGTTGATCAGGTACTTTAAAGCTAGCTAGTTGATGCAGATCTGCATACAGATTGCCACGTTATTCAGTCTTTTTAACTGGACTGAGGTACTGAGCTCTACAACCAGAACTGTCTGCAGTTTCAGTGTTTCCCAACTGGGAACCTAGTCTCTCTGGGCCAAGAGCAGAAAGAAGGGCTGTACTGAATTGTAATGACTCTCTTCCATGGCCTGTCCAATCCCATGAGATTTCATCTCCCCTTGCAAGCTTCAAAGAGAAATTCCCATTGATCTGCAGCTGCTGTGCACAGCAGGGAAGCGCTGTTGCTGTGTGTTTAGTCCACATTGCAGCCTGTAAATTTCCATTTAGCTGTAATTTCTCCCTCCTAGATGCAAAGGTCTACACAGCTAGCATGTCTGCACCTGAAATTATCATTCTTCTGAGCATGGTCATCAAATGAAGGCAAGTCATTAAAGACAGATTGGAAGTAATACTAATGTATTACTGATGTCCTCTCCTGGAATCACCAGCTGACAAAAGCTGATGGCCATAAATCAATTAACTGTTTACTTAAGAGTGACAGCCTCATCAGGATATAATCTATCAATAGTCCCCTTGACCTCTGCATTAAGTCCAATTGAAATAACTATATTTCGAGATGTAAATGAAGAGCATGGAATTAGGAGCAAAAAAACAGTTCTTGAAGCAGTTTCCATCTTTGCACCTTCTAGGTTTACAGAGGAGGCCAAGAAGGAACGACATCCCTTTGCATACCTGCCTTTTGGTGCTGGACCCCGTGGCTGCATTGGCATGAAAATGGGTTTGCTGGAGACAAAAATTACTCTGTTGAGGATTTTGCAGAAGTTTCAATTTAAAACCTGCGCAGAGACTGAGGTTAGTACATCCTGAGGCTTAAAGACCACACTTGTCAACTTCAGGGAATTGACAGTGTGTCCTGACAGAAAGACTTGTCTTTGTCACTTTCTTTTCATTTGACAAAACTGCTCAAGCCAATTCCATAATAAGGAGGGACATGGGGACTGGATTGCATGTTGTAATCAAGATGTGATTTAACCTTTATGATTTTTCCATCAAAAGGAACAGTTACAAAGCCCTGTCTTAGTGAAGAGCAGTGTAGCAAAATGACAGACAAAATACCTTGATTTATGCTGGGTGAGAACAGGTGTACCTCTTTAATGGGATCTCAGCACTCTAGTATATGCCTATTGCTATATACATTGCACCTGCACTCAGCAGCTCTAGAATTTACGGAGTTAATTTCTTTCTGTTCAGTTCTACAGTATGCTTGGGCAACCACTGCCTCAGCCTCTGGCTGTAAATTCTCTTTAATATAATACTACCACAGCTGACTGTAAAACAAGTACTTTACAGCCTCCACAGTAATCCTGGTATGAACTGATCCCCCAGCAAAAATGTCTGTCTGTATGTGGGGTTGTTATACACACATACACAAATACATACAACTGTACATAAGGTGTTATTTTTTCTTCCAGATTCCTTTGCAGCTGAAATCAAAAGCCACACTTGGACCAAAAAATGGAGTCTACATTATCCTAGAATCTCGTTAAAAGAAAATATGCATCTTAAGCCTCCTGGGATGGGACCCCTTGTTCAGTCACTCACTGGGTATAATTTTTTTCACAACCCCAAAGACAGGGAGGAGCCTAAGTCCCACTGATGGTCAGTAGGTACAGGTTCACTACCCTCCTGTGGGAGATCCTCCAGTCACTTTTAAAAATGAGATGTGGGCTCCACAGTCTTTTTGGTGGTTTTCAAATTGCTGTGAACAGTATCTGTAAAGAAGCATCCCACTTTCACTTGCTTTCCTACATTACACTTCTTTTCACTCCTCTTTGGGAATGCTTTCTTCATGCTCAAGTTCAATAAATGGAGCATATGTTGAGTGCACACGTAATTTACAATAGGTTTTAATTACAATTCATTATCTCACACATCCTTCTTATGCACTTATAAGTCTCTACTCCAGCAAAAGCCCCTGAAGAACCACCATTATAGCAGACAACCTGTATTTTATCATAAGCCCTGCTAAAAATCAGAGCTGTTTCCTGCACAATGCTTAATATCTCCCTGTACCTGTAAAGTGGAAGCAGTTGCACCTTCTTCATTCTTCTTAAGTTACTTGAAATGCAATTAGATTAACTATTTGCACTTGGCACATTGCTTCAACATGACTGAAAACGAATGAAGCTTGTTTGCCAGTTAAATTTGAGTAGCTAAGACCAAAGAAATGAGGAGACAGCCATTTATGCTGGCTACTGAACTGCTGTTGGAAAGGTGGAGAAAAAGAAGGTACAAATTGAAGGAAAGCAGGGAGACTGGAGAAAATTGATGAGTAATCTGATGGTGTTGGTACAACATCTTCTTCATGTTGAAACTTTTCCTTTCCAAGCACTGCAGCTGGCACCATCCTTGTCCTGCATGCACTAAAGCAAATGACAAGGGAGTGGGATCCAGGATCATCAGTCCCAGCAACTCTCTTGTTTCCTTATGTGATCCTGGAATAGGTCACAACCCAAGTGGCTCACTCCACTCAGGAAGGAACTTGCCTAATTGCCAGCTGTAGCAGCACCATTGATCCACCCATGCTGCATGACTGTGCACACACTTCTTCACAGCCAAAGCAGCCATGCACTTCCACTCTTCACATTCCCTCAGTGCTTTTTCCTACAAAGCCCTTCAGTCACCACACAGCTAGTGAAGCATCCCACAGATTTCCTTCAGTGGGCACCACAAGCTGGTTGGCTGTGCAAGAAAACCATGAGAAGAGATGGGAGATGGTCTCAGTGTCCTTATTGTTCCTTTTTTTTTTTTTGAAGTTTTTATGATTACCAAAAATTCTTACAGCACCATACATATATAGAAGCACATTTTGATTCTTTGCAAGTGTTGACCTGCCTGCTCAAGATTTCTTTAGGTACAGCATCTCTTGGTTGTATGCACAGAGAAGTGTCATGGCAGCAGGAGGGAGAGGCTGACTGCTCAGTTTCACTGCAAAGATTGCTGGAAGGAGCCATCTGCTCACTGAACCCTAGTTAGTTCCATAGTTTCTCTCCAGCAAGCACCTTTTGCTGCCTTCTTCCCACATGCTGCCTTAACACTGATCAAATTACCATATCTAGCTCCTGGAAGATTTTGTCTCTCTCTCATGGGATTTTTAAAATATTTTTTTCTATTCAAAGCGGAACTGTACAGGTAATAGTGGTGAGGGACTGACCTGGCAGTCTTGGAATTGTGCCTGTTTCCATGGAGGATCTCTGGCATGCAAAGTAGAAGTGTCCTGTTACAGAAACACTGATTATACTAATTACTGATTGAATGATGGTTATTTGTTTCAAAAGCAACACACTGTATATACTGTAGCTTCTACATGTTATCTATAATTTTTCCCCCTTGGAAATAGTGTGCAGGCAACTGATTTACTGTACAGCTTACACTTAACAACTGGTAAAAAGTTGGATGGGCCTTACCTAAAAACTTCTGATCTATCTGAACGAGCAAGAAGATCATCACAGTCTGAAATCAGCTGTCAAAGGCTTGTTTGACCGTTCAAGATTTGTTAATGTTTGGTTTTCCTTGTGTGAATTAGCAAGTCTTTGTGTGCTTCTTTTTTGGCCAAATACTCCAAGCCTAAGTCAAGCTTGTGCTTTTCTTCCATATGCTGGAAGAATGGACTGTTCTACAGCTTCTCTGAATGCTGATCTCTGGAAATGCATAATCCCTTCTCCTAAGTGCAGGCCTAGAGAGACAGCTGGAGAAGTAAGATGGAGAGAAGGCTGCCAACTTTCCAGAAATAAAGGAAGAGCCCTAAGCTATTCCTTCCTTTTAAACAACAGCTGCTGGTACAGTCACCAGACACTGCACAGACGTTTTACCAGGTTACTTAATGATGCTGGCCCTGGCTTTGGCTGTGTGGGCTCACACAGCAACACACCTGAACAGCAAGTTGTCTTGAGGGACCTGCACTGCTCTACCCCTTGGAAGCACACAGTTGCAAAAAAACCCCCACATAATAAAAACCAAACCCAAACCAACAAAAAACAAGACACAGGACTCACAGCAGCTCTCTAAAACAGAAACTGGTAATATGTTAAGCACAGTGTGCTCGTGCACCCATTTAATATGGTCCTGAAATGATCCTGAGCAGAGCTGGCTTTAGCATTCATAAAAAAAACCCCACACAAAAGCAACCAAATAAAAAAAAACCCAAATCTACAAAAAAAAACCCAACAAAACCCAACCCCAAAAACCAAACCAAAACAAGGCATTACGTTTATAGTTGCAAGCTCAAAACATAATTTTATATCCTTGCATTCTGGTAACTATTAGCACATCTGTTACAACATGCTTCAGTCAACAGCAGTTGAGTCTAGGGACGACCAAGGAAGCTGATTTAAAATAATTTCTCTCCTCAGAAACAGTATGTGGGTTTTCTCGCATTGCTGAGCTCTGAGTTTGTTTAAAATTGGGCATGTCTGTTTTACAGAAGGGTTTTAGTCGTCCTCTGACAGCTGATATAAAACAAAGGCTGCTTGGTAAAGGAAAGCTTCTATTAAAAACATCTTCTGGGACTTTGCAATGATTACAGCAAGTTGTCAGTATAAAATAGCATTTTTAATAAGACTGCTGATATAGAAAACCTTTACTGTTTTGTACTTTATAAATAATATTCCTAGAAAAATTCAGCTGGGTGTTAGAAATTATTATGCAAATTTGTCTATTCTTACCTGAAATTAAACTGCAGAATGTCCTCTCTGTGTGTGATTGTTTCTGAAATGACCACCTTCTCATTTCCCTTTGTTATATGATGGACACAGCTTCACCTAATATCAGAGTCTTCTATGTATTTACAGTAGTAAATGTGCTAAAACAAATAAAAACTGCCTTATAAACTTTATTTCATTGCTTGGCTTGCACTGGCCCAGCTCTCTTTCTTCTGACTGAAAAGTCTGATCAGTGTCAAGATGTTTGCTCCCTGCACTGCTGGGTTCAAGAAGGGAGCAGGATTCCCTCAATTCCTAGGATTTTTTTTTTGCCAGAAGAGAATGAATTTGTGACCTGGCCTGAAACAAGAAACACAAGGGGACTATTCAGGCTAGTGAAGCTTACTTCCTGGTAAAACATGTAAGCACCATTAACCCTGGCTATTTAACAAACAGCCATTCCTCCCGGATTTTGCACTGGAAGTACTGCAAGCAGTGTAGCATTTCTACAACTGCCCTTTGGCTCAAAGGCAGCTCTGAGGAAGTTTCTAAGAAGCAAAGTGCAAGTCTTCTCCAAGCCAAGCAGCACAGAGCACACTACTATAGCTGGTCCATGCCACCCACTTCAGTTCCTCTTATCCACCACCCCTTATGCAGCCTGGGTATTCTACTGCCACTCCTTTTGCTGCACAGGGGGGGGAGGGGGAGGTGGCACACAGGATTTTTTGACACCCACATCTTATTTAGGCAGAGTATTCTGACAAACCTGAGTACAGATAAAACATTAAATGGTGTAGTGGGTTGACCTTGGCTGGCTGCCAGACCCCTACCCAGTCCAGTGAGAGGGGGCCAGGGGTTCATCAACTACCATGCTCCATACTGCACCACTGGCAGAGCAAAGTTCTTTGCCTTCTGCTGGCTTGCCAGGATGGACTTGTTATCAAAAAATAAAACAACCTTCACAACTTATCTTCCTCCTCACATGGGGTGGGAGTGAGAGCTTATTACGCTGTTCCTGCTGTCTCTGCAGCCAAGAGATATCCTCCCAACTCAGAAAAGTTTCAGTATCAATTTTTGTCTGAAGTTTAGAATTAATGCAAACAACTCTTAAATTTGTTCATTTCTAAATGCAATCCAAAACAGCTGTAGAGGGACTCCACTACATACAGGAAATGGTGCCTTTAGTACTAAGAGAGAAAACCATAACACAGAATTTAATAATTTGAATACCTGCTCATTTACTACACACAAAAAACTACTATTCCAGTTTCAAAAGTGGAAAACATCATAACTTTTTTGTGTGCATTAATGGAGAAATAATAGATGACAAAGTAACGCAACTAGCCATTTTAGTCCAGTTACTTTAATAAGATAGGCAGACACACACATTTTTACATCCCCTTCGAGAATTAAATTGTTATTAAAAATAACTAGCCATCAAAAATGTTACCAGAAAAAACTTTGTGCATAACAAATGTTTGTTTCAATTTTATGGCAAAATATTACTGTGACTTGAGCTATTCCAATTTTTAGCTGAAATGCTGGTTATTTTCAGAGGAAGAAAGGCATACTACCAGCAATCTGATTTGCCATGAATGTGTAGATTAACACGGTTTTTGTTTTGGCAGAAAAATCTGATTCTGCACAGGTATGAAAGCTTTCATACCTCGTGATCTCCTCCTCAATGAATGTAGCATTTGCTGAAAAAGCTCATTTGCTATCATGGGGTTTACCATCTATGTTCTATTACAAATCTTTCAAAAGAAAGAACATAGTCAACTTGCTTTTCAACATCCTGTGTTTTACTGGGTTTGAATGCAAACAGAAGTACTTCCCTTGATATATCATGCTGCTGGTTTTACAGTTCATATAAAAAGGGGTTCTGCACAGCCATACTCCAGTTGATCATGGTTCACAATGCTGAATTAAGTTATCCTGTGTACTCCTGTCATCATCCAGATAAATTATATAAAAGTGCTTAGAGAATATAGTTAGAGATTAGCTTTTTTTGATCATATACAAAGTATCTCTTAAGGCTTTTTGCAGTACACCATTTAACTTTAATCTTAAGAAATACTTGACAGTTCAAGGTTTTTCATTATCTGCATATATGTATGCTGACTAGTATCTTTCGCGGGGAACAGATTCTTAAAGGTTTCAGCTCTGTAAGCATGTCATTCCTGTAAGAAGTTCAAAGACACCTTGATTACACAGGTAACCAGTGCACCTCCTGCAACCAAAGGGGCAGTACCTAAGGAGAGACAGTCCTTCCCAACAGCTGTAAGAGAACTATGAAGTTGCTCCACAGAAACAAAGTATTGCTAATCAAGCAGTGCAAGCAGTGTATTTCACTCTGAAGTATGAGATTCTCAAGTGATGGGATGAGTTGCCTCCTTTTCCTCCTACCTGGCAGCTGCCAGCACTCTCTCATTTGCTAAAGTGAGTGTCATTAGTGATTTGTGCTCTCACAGACCTAAAATACAGCACTTATTTGTTAAAGTTGACTTGAGTAGCACAGCACCTTGTGTGGGGGTTTAATCCCAGCCAACAACTAAGGGTCACCCTCCCACACTGCCCCCAGTGGGATGGCAAAAAGAATCAGGGGAGGAAAAGAAGAAAACGCAAAAACTCGCGGGTTGAGATCAAGACAGTTTAATAAGACAAAAAAAAGGAAGACAGTAATAATAATAGTAAAAGATAATACAAAACAAGTTATGTACAATGCAACTGCTCACCACCTACTGGCCGATGCCCAGCCCATCCCACCCCCAAATAGCAATTGCTGCCTCCCAGCCAACTCCTGCCCAGTTATATGCTAAGCAGGATCTCCTGTGGTACAGCCAGTTTGGGTCAGCTGTCCTGGCATCCCCTTCTCCCAGCTTCTTCTGCACCTCCAGCCTTTTTGCTGGCAAGGCATGAGAAGCTGAAAAGTCCTTTATTTAATGCTTAGCAACAACTAAAACATCAGTTATCAACATCACTCTCATACTAAATCTGAAACACAGTACTACAGCAGCTACCAGGAAGAAAATTAACTCTGTCCTGGCTGAAACCAGGACACCCTGTTATGCTTCATGTCTTTGGTAGTTGCTTCAGAAGAGAAAATTAACATGTGAAAATAAGTCTCTGCTCCTTTTCAACAAGCAGCTTTAAAATTTAGAGTCCCTGTTGGTGAATCACAGAATGGTAGGGGTTGGAAGGGACCTCTGGAGATCATCTAGTCCAACCCTGCCCTGCCTAGAGCGAGTTGCACAGGATGCTGTCCAGGCAAGTTCTTAATGTCTCCAGAGATGGAGACTTTACAGCTACTCTGGGTGGCATGTTTCAGTGTTCTGCCCCCCTCAAAGTAAAATTCCTCCTCATGTTTAGATGGAACTTCTGTTAAAGTTTGTCACCCATTACCTCTTGTCCTGTCACTGAGCACCACTGAAAAACTACTGGCCCCATCCTCCTGACACCCACATTTTTAAGTATTTAAATGCATTGATAAGATCCCCCATCAGTCTTCTCCAGTCTAAAAAGTCCCAAGTCACTCAGCCTTTCCTCAGAAGAGAGATGTTCTAGTGCCCTAATAATCTTTGTAGCCCTTTGCTGTACCCCCTCCAGCAGTTCCCTGTCCTTCTTGAACCGAGGAGCCCAGAACTAGACAGTTTTCCAGATGCAGCCCCGCCAGGGCAGAGTGAGGGGAAGGATGACCTCACTGGACCTGCTTGCCATGCTCTTCTTGGAGCACCCTACAATGCTACTGCCCTTCTTGGCCACAAGGACACATTAGCTGGCTCATGGTCATCCTGTTGTCCACCAGAATTCTTTTTCCACAGGGCTGCTTTCCAGCAGGTCAGCACCTAACCTGTATGGATACCTGGGGTTGTTCTGCCCTAGGTGCAGTATCTGACACTTGTCTTTGTTGAATTTTGTAAGGTTTCTCTCTGCCCAGCTCTCCAGCCTTGCCAGGTCACTCTGGATGGCAGCATAACCCTCTGCTGTGTCAGCCACCACTCCCAGTTTTGTGTCATCAGCAAATTTGCTAATGGTGCACCCTATCCCTTTGTCTAGGTCATTGATGAATATATTTACCAGGACTGGACATAGTACTGACCTCTGGGGAAGACCACTTGTGATTGACCTCCAACTAGACTCTCTAATCACAACCTTCTGAACTCTATCTTTTAGCCAATTTTCAAACCACCTCTCAGTCCATTCATCTAACCCACACTTCCTAAGCTTGCCTATGAGGATGCTGTGAGAGATGGTGCTGGATGCCTTGCTGAAGTCCTGGACAACATCCACCACCCTCCCCTCCTCTATCTAGTCATGCCAATGTAGTAGGCTACCAGATTAGTCAAATATGACTTCCCCTTTGTGAATCCATGTTGACTAATTCTGATAACCTTCTTTTCCTCCACATGCTTTGAGATGATGCCCAGAACACGCTGTTCTATCATCTTTCCTGGGTCTCCCTTCTTGCCCTGAGTTGAGCAGAGACAAGAGATCATACAGTCTCTTTTGCTAGCAACTGAACGTCCAGTGTTACAGGAGATTATTAAAAAGTAGGTTTCCTCAAATTTTGAGTTAACCAATTAGAAGGAGACAGCCTCTGACCAACAAGCATGTGTAAAGATCTATCCTGAAACAACAATAACTAAATATTGGTTAAACTTAGCAGTCAAAGCCAATTCTCATGTTACAGCTATCGGTGAATTCAATAAATTTATAAAGGTCTCTAGCAATGCAGGGAAACATACCTTGTAAAGAACAGGAGACAGGATTTGAAGAATTCTAAGACATCATTAGTTTCATTTTACCCCTTATTTATTGCATGGAAAGGATAGAGAATAAATGTTTCTGAACACTCACCTACCCAATTTAAAAACTGCTAAAAACCACTTTCGCTTGTAGGCCTATACTAAAATGGTTATCCCAGCTAAACATAACAATTTCATTTATTTTTAATTTTTTTTTTCAGCTATAGCATTTTTGCCAATGCCTAGTCACTGTAGTCTATGAGATACTCTGGATAAACCTGCTGCTTCTCAAAGATGACAAAGATAGAAGGGTTAGAGGAGCTATCCACACAACTGTCATAGAAGTCGTGCTGATCCTTCAAGGGGGGCCGAAAATAAGAAGATTTACCGAGAGTGAAATCCCCCACTAGCACCCGTGCCAGAAACATGGTCTTGGTGCTGAAGTCGTCCTTGCAGTAGTTGTGAGAGTAAGAGGCATCCCTTGCAAAGTAGCTTCCTGCAGAAGGAAGACCAAGACAGAGTTGATAATACACCAAAATTGCAGGGAAGGAAGCGATAAAGTGTAAAAGTGAATTCATAAGCAAATTCATTAAGCAGTTATTGAACGGCCTTTTCAAAGGCTTCACGCATCTATATACCCCTCTCAGTGAAAATGCCCACCACGTATTTCCTACACTGTTATTTTTCACAATACACATTCAAAAAGCCACACAACTAATGCTTTAATGTTATCATATTCCTCAAAAAGATTTCCTGCT